GTATGTAAAAACAATTATTTCTTGAGTTAAAATTTTTATTTTTGTCCATTTTAGTGATCTCTTGACTTTTTGTGGCAGGTACAAAAAGCTATTTCAACTAGTGCATAGAGTCGAGGAAGTACGTCGTGTCAATCTTGTTCATTACAATATTTGCCTGCCAGATATTCACGAGCTTGTCTGCCAACGGATTTATACAGACGAGATTGCTTCGTTGACGAATGAGAATTTCCGCTACAATCATACATCCTTTCTTCTTATGCCTGAGGTAATCTTTTCTTAACTTAGCAACTCTTGCTGCAGTTCCGAATAATAACGTTATACATTTTAATTATAATTTACTTTAATTATAATTTTTACTGGTTTAATTTACGTTTCTCTTACCATTTTTTTTTAATTAAAAATGTATATTAGAAATATTATTTTAAAATAATAAATCTTAGTGTATATATATATATATATTAGGACCTTGAATAAGTTCTCGCTGTTTTCCAACATATGGTGTTAACAGAACTTGCACTGCGTGCATGTAGTTGAAGACATATCGATAAGAAACTACGATAAGCAAGCTTGAAATTCAGTGTATGTCATCTCGCCGAAGTGTAAACAACTTTTTGTTTCATAGTGTTAAACATGTCGAGTTTTGTGCCAACAAAAGAGTATTTGCGGGGAATTTTATTGCACTACTTTATTCAAAGAAAATTTGCAGCTGAAGCACACAGAATTCTTGTTGAGACTTACGGTATAAACCATGCTCTATCGGAAACATGCAGAGATTGGTTTAGACGCTTCAAAAATAATGATTTTGATGTTGAAGATAAAGTAGAATTGGAGGCATTACTGCATGAAGATTCATGTCAGACGCTAGCTGAACTTGTAGAATCATTAGGAGTTGATTACACAACAGTTTCTAAACGTTTAAAATTATTTTTTTAAATAAAGCATTACTTTTCACGAAAAAAACAGCGAGAATTTATTCAAGGTCCTAATATATATATACTAAAATTTATTATTTTATACATATACAATTTTTTATATTGTTGTTTATATTTTTTATTATATATATATATATGTGTATATATACTTTCAGGAAGGCGAAATTTGGCCACAATCTTCTATAGATATCACAGTGATTTTTCGAGCCATGGAAGTAGGCAAGATATCGAGCGTCGCTTATCTTGAAGTCACGGGTCGCGAAGACAGAATACCCCTGAGGTTACAAGAAAACTAGTATAACGTTATCTTTAGAAACTTCCTTTTACCTCGGAATTTTCTAGCTAATTTTGCGTCCCTTTGGTAGCATTCACGGAACTGGCAAGGGACCAGTTTTCCATCTCAATGTGATCATTATCGATCTTAGTAATATCTTCCTATCCTCCGTGCACAATTATGAGGTAACCCAGTAAATTTATTTGCATATAAAAATTTTATAAAAATTTATGGAAAACTCTTATGTTGCAGTTTTGCTCAATTTTTACAACATTTTTTTATATACATTTTATTTTTCATTTTTCTAAAAGACATAATAATGAATTATTGAAATCTGAATTGATTGTATGCACAGATTGTAGCAACAAATCGTGGGCATATTTGTGGTACATTGATTTATAAAGAAAGACCGACAGATTTTGGTGGCACTATTAGTATTACTCCAAATACTCGAACATTAAAACCGGACGAATATAAATCATTTAATTTATCATTCTCTTCAAATCGGAAAGGAGACTTTATAGAGCGAATCGACTTCGTTATTAAAGAGAGTTTAGAAGTATTATCTTTGCATATCAAGTAATTATTAGTAAAACATTTAAACTGATTGTTATTACAAACAAAAATCTACAATTTTTTAAATTATTGTAGATTGTTATAATAATCGAATGTTAGATTTATCTATAAAAATGTATTTAATTTTATTCTTACTATTAAAAAGATCTTAAACGCCATTCTTTTCAGTTCATAAATATATTATTTCTCTGCCATCTATTTTCTTTTAATTAATATTGAGCAACATTATTATAATATGCTATAAAATTTATTTGTAGAGGATGTGTTATATGTCCAACGCTACATTTCGATAAACACAGTCTTGATCTTGGCGCAACTGCTTTAGGTATTGATTAGAGTAATTTGATTAGAATAATGAATGCAATTCAATTAAGAAAATCGCAATTTCGTGTTTACAGGATTTAGTAAAAAACAAGAAGTAAATCTTCGTAATTTATCTTTGGTACCCGTCACGTTCAGTGTAAAGATAATGGAGGACGGTGATCAGACACCTTTGACTTACGAAGAGTTCGCTACATCTAAAGTGAAACCAACTTTCCCGACTAACCCTTGCGAGTTTACGGTTATTCCGCATAAAGGGGTAGTGCAAGCACATAGTTCGCTTAAATTGAAGGTAAATTAATGATGCCTTTGTTTAACTTGTAATTGTTTGCAAGCAAAATGCTAATTTATAGGTATCTTCTAATACGTCACATAATATAAAATCAGTTTATACATATCTCTATATAATTACACACTTAAAAACTGTTTCTTTAGCTATATAACTTAAAAACAATTTAAAAAAATAAAATAATAGCGTTATATATATAATAAATAAATACTTGATATATATCTCATTGTAAAAAAATATAGGTAACATATATAGCAAACGTGGTTCGAACTGGACGAACAAATATACGAGTCGACATGTGGGATTCAGATTCGGATCCTGTAATACTACCGCTCTCATTTTGTGGCACTATTCCTTCTCTATTGATCAAGCCTATGGAAGTCAACATTCGATTTTCTTTCATCAACTTTCCGTATTCTCGTTCCATCAGTGTAGAAAATGACTCTGATTTAGATGGATATTTTTATATAGTACCGCAGACAGTAATTGTTAAATTAATTCCAAAAGCTAAATTTATGCTTATAGTTCCTTAAATATAATTCAGAAATATATTAAGTATTAAAAGTAATATACAGTTATTCTAAGTTAACTGTATCAATATTATTTTCCAGATATCCGAGAATATGCTTATTGTATATTCATTATCATGTTATCAAGGTTTTCTAAAAGCACGACAATCGAAAACAATTGATGTTACAATTATTACAAAAAATTTAGGCAGGCAGACAACAACATTAAAGTATAATAATTAGCTTAATAATTTTTTTAAAAAGTTTTAGAATAATTTAATGTAATTTAATAAAAGAAATTTTTTTAATTGGATATTTATAGAAACTCTCTCTGTAGAAGAGCTTTGAACATTATTTTATATAAATTCTTATAAAAAACTTCTATTGTTGTTTCAATTTCTTATTGTCAGTATGCTGACAATGGGTGAACAGGCTCCAGTTACGTCTTGTGTGATTATTTGTAATGGCCAAGGACCAGTAGTATCTGTGCAACCTATTTGTCTCAATTTCGGAGAGATACAAGTGCTTCAAGATAAAGTTATGCATTTTAACATAATTAATGACTCACCAATACCAGCGCAATTTAAATTAACATCAGTAAGTACTTTTCAAATAAGTGAATAATAAATTTACAGAACGCATAAAATATATAAAAAATGTTATGCAGAAATTATCTTATATTTTTTAGCCTAAGAAAAAGTCATTATGGCTCGTTGAGCCAACCTTTGGTGAAATTCGTCCGAACGACTCTGAGGAGATTAAAATCAAACTATTTTTGCGCGACACTGGTAAATACACTGATAATATAATCGTGCATGTCATCAACAGCCGGTCGTTTTCCATTAATGTAATTGCGACTGGAATCGGTTGCAGCATCGTTTTCGAGCCGCAGATATTTCCAATATTCGATATGGGTTTTCTTTTTAGGTAAACCAGAATATTGAAAGAACTTTAATTCCTTTTTATAATATAACAAAAATAATAAAAATTATTTTTTAAATATTTATTCGTATAATATTTAATTTATTTAATTTTAATAGCCACCAAAATCTGAGTCTGCCAGTAACCATAAAAAATTTTGGGACACATAATTGTCAAATAATATGGTCAAACGATCCAGAGGTTCGCATTCAAAAAAGTCAAACCTGGTCAAAGTAATTACATAGTTCCTATTTAAATTTTCATTTTAACTTTAGCTAGGATATTTATATAAGAACTTTGTTTTACAACAGGAAGTTTCAAATTGAACCGTCCACCGTAGAAGTTCCAGCTAATGGTTCTAACGTAGTTCAATGTAAAATATGTTGGGATGTGTAAGTTTAAATTTTTATACTTTATAATAATAAATTAACTGATATAATTATAATTAAAACAATATAATATTAATCTTAATTAGAACTGTACAATTTTATCAGCTTCCTTAAAATCATAACCATTCTTACATGTAATTAAAAAATATTATATTATTAAGAAGAAAATTTTTATATAATTTTTATGATTTTTTCTTTTTAATTAAACAATTTTAAATAATATTGTAAAATATTTCCGTGCTTACATTAAAGAAATGAAATCTTGACGGAAGATTGGTACATATTCGAGCAGATTTTCGGACAAGGAAAACGAAAATTGATAGGAACTTCTACGTTTAAAACCACTTTTACGGAACCACGGATTGCATTTAACAAAAGAGAATTAACGTTTTTCATTGATATATGTCCCGAGGGAGAAAAGTTGCAACAGACAGGTAGAGAAAATTATACTAATATGTTCGAAACTATTTTAGTAATGTAAACTATCCGGAAAAGTTGTGCAATATAATATTCCGGAGGGCATTTATGAGGTACTTGGTGTCAAAGTTTACTGCATAAACAATTAGAATATTTTTCATATCATTGTATTCAAATGTTTATAGATTCCTTATACTAAATAAAATAATAATAATGTTTCCAATTTGCTAATTTTTAGATAATCTAATTGTGACAAATCATTCACGATTAAGTTTAAATGTTTTATTGTATATTGACGCTCCATTCTATTTGGTGAACAATGAGAAAAAGCTTGTACATAAAAAGAAAATTGTTGTGATAGACGGAACTACCATGACGATTCCAGTAAAATTTTTACCAAATATAAAACCCGATTATCCTTATTCGCGAAATTATAGCGGCGTGCTCTGGTTTGAATATGAAGAGCATCCTACTAAGGTATTGAAAGATGTATATTACAAAATTGATTAAAGCAATGCAAAAACTTTTCCTAACTAATTTTAGGACAAAATTCAATGCAAAGGTGCAGTAAATTTTCCGAATATTACATTACATTGCAAAGATTTGATTATTAACTGTATGTTGAATTCAACCGCCAAAGAAACATTAAGGATAACTAATAATGGACCAATTCCTATAATATATAAATTTCTATGGGCCGGAGAGAGTATTGAAATTCATCGTGAAGCACATAATGTTGGAGTTGAGTTGCATTAATATTAGTTAAATATACAAAAAGAAATATTTAACTACTTGTTACAAACTGTTTCCAATAATTAATTTTCAGTAATCCCGAATAATTAACAGTATATGTTTTTTTATAGAATTTTACAAATTGTTCACAAATTAATGCAGAAGGTAATAAATTTAATCCACGTTCTTACAATATTAAAAAGAAATTAGAGACTCTTTCTCAGGAAACTGAAAATAAAATTCTCGATTTATCAACTTCAACGTTATATGGTACGTATAAAATACTTTTTATTAAAATATTAAAAATTTTAATATTTTAACGTATAATATTCCATTAATATATATCTATTGCAAATTATTATTAATTAAACAACGTTTGATATTATTAATGTAATTTAGCTTATTTAGTGATTTCGATTCAAGAATTTGTCCTTTTTTTTTCATGCACATATTTTTCATCTATTACTATTATTAGAGCTGCAAGATTCAGATTCAGAGAATTTACTAATGGAAATTCGATCGGAAATGTTAGACGAAACACTCGAAAAGTTAAGAAGTACTTTTATGTCAACGACAGAAACATCCTATTTATCGTGTCTAGATGATCCAGAAATTCTTACTCGTATTGATCCCCATTTCGAGCCTCCCACAAAGGAACCACTCGATGATGTTCGTCTCTTCCCTTATAAAATTCATTTAAATCAAATTAATATTTATTATATATTGTAAATTCTTTAATATTATATTGCTATCTCTGCAGTAAATTAATATCTTAAAACTAATGTCGAAGCTAACGATTTATCTAGATACTTGATATCATTCCACACGAAGGCGTTCTTCAGCCATTCTCCTCGCAATATGTAAGGTTCATCTTCCATGCTTCCGAGCCTATGCAGCTCAAAGTTGTTGCGCTTTGTGAAATTATTCAGGGACCTACTGAAATAGTTAATGTATATGCCAGCGCAGACGTCATTCGATATTCTGTTGACAAACAAATCATCGATTTTGGTCAACAAGTGAGTTATTTTTTAATTTCAATAATTACAGTATATATTATTTTTATTTTAATAATTGTGTAATTTTGCTGTATAACAAATTTAATGTTGGAATATAAGAGAATTATAAAAAGTTAAACAAAAAATTATGTCTGATTAATTAATTTAATAATTCAATCTATTGTTTTATGTATAGTTAGTTTAACATTTAATCTAGTTTACTAATTTAATTTATCGATCTACACCACAGTTATTCGGTGAATTGTGTCGGTCGAGCTTTACATTGCAAAATCATAGTATGATACGTATAGATTATAAAATAAACAAGAGAAATTTCGTATTTAAAACAAGCAATTTTGACTTCACAATCGGCGTATTAACAATTGAGCCAAATAAAGGATCTATAGGTCCTCTATCGTCATTGAAAATTACGCTCGAACTTCAACCTATGCTACTCGGCACTTTCGAAGTAGAGTTTGAGCTACAAGTATGTCACAATACAACGTATCACTTAATCGAAAGCTAAAAACAATTATATTTTTGTTATGGATGAATCAGAAAATTATTATTTAAGATATAATTATATATAAGATATAATTCAAACTGTTACTACATATTATAATTACTATCAATATTCAGGTGACTCATGTAGATCCATTGATAATTACCGCAAAAGGTGTTATAAGTTATCCACAAGTTTATCCCTGCATCTCGCGAGATATTTCTAGACCCGTGAAATTGGGATACCGGGCGATTCAACTGCTAAGTCCAGAATTTATCACAATGGTACGAAATTTTATACAAAAGTGATGAAAAGGTTTAATGCATGTTTTTCTACATTACAGAAAAAACAAATACGATGTAATGTGGAGGATGACAAGTTAAAGAATCAAGTACCTGAATGGGACGAGCGAATCTTATTAAGTAAGATAACACATAATTAGATCTCTAATATGATATAATGACAATTAAAATGTAGTTAAAAAATTGATTCAACTAATAAAAAGATCTTAAAAAAATTTTAATCATTATTTTTTAAGATAACGGCTGGGACTTAATTTCATGTGAGGAAATATTTCCCAGTATTGTTGACATCGAGATGTCTATTGACAGACTTTTGGCAATTCGATCATTCGAAGAAAATGCTTCCATTTTGATAAAACATTTCATTTCGCATAAAATTGCTGTTATTCCTTTTCTGTATACTCCTGAATATATTATAGGTATATAATTACGAAAAATGTAAATTATTCTCAAATTAATTAGTTTTTTGTTAGTTAATTATCCAAGGAACACATAAAAATCAATAAAAGATTAAAATAGTATCAAAAAGACTTTATTTTAATGCTTAATGTCAATAAACAGGCAAATTCTGTAGCCAAAAGACATTATTTTGATATCAAAATACATTATTTTAAATTTTTCTTGACTTGTTGATGTGCTTCTTAAGGTATCGTTCAAATAGATTGCAATTTGATCTGTAATTAAAGTAGTTACGAGAGTAAACTGGCACACTGAAAGAAAATATTGACTGAATATGGCATATCATTTTAATTGGTTGCAGCAGCCAATTAAAATGCTATGCCATATTTTATCATCTAATTTGCTGCAGCAGCCAATTTTTTCTTTCAGTACAGTATTCATAAATAATTAATAATGCAAAAATTATTTTCAGACATGGGTTATATTGCGATTGATATCAAAACGTGTTATTCGACAACAATTGTCAATTATGGGCCTTGGAATGCGGAAATTACAATGAAAAAATCAGAAAAGAAGCAACTTGAAAATTCTGGCATTTTTGTGAAATTTGAGAAAACAACGTTAACCGTTGGGAAAACTACGTGCTTGACTATTATATGGCAACCGACAACGGCCAAGTATTATGAAAGAAGCACAAGAGAACAGCACACAATTTATTTAGAAGTAAACTTAATTATTTATATTTTACCGTTTTTTTAAATAAAATTTATTGTAATTTAATCGAAATATTTGTGCACACAAAAGGCATAGTGATAATTTAATGAAAACGTTATTAAATATAATATATCTATTATACATATAATACATGAAATATTTAAAATGTATTAATGAATTAAAGTAAATTATGATAATTTCTTAATTAAACAGATATCTCGTGGTTCTATTATTCCCATAATTATAAAAAGCATAATTACTTATCCATTTGTAATTGTTGACACAAAATTATTAGATTTTCAAAATGTCATCGTGGGAGAATGTTTAATGATGAACGTTTTAGTGAAAAACGAGTATGTATATATATATCTTTTTTTTTTAATTTAAACACGCTTAACGCTTTTATCAATAGAATATATAATTTTCAAATTCTAATTTTCAGAGGCTTTATTAATTGTTATTGGGAAGCAAATATATTAACTCGTAAAAAACAAAAAGATTGTCCATTTCATATTAATTATAAATCTAATCTTCTTTTGCCTGGTCATTCGGATATCATCAATGTCTATTTTAAACCACATAAAACGGTACTATTATATATATTAATTGTACGCATACCTATATTAATAAAATTAAATGATTATGACATTGCTAATCATTTAGTGTCGCATGGAGGCAAATCTAAAAATCACCGTTAAAATGGGTTTGGAAACACAAGTGATAACATTAATTGGTAATGGAATCGAGTATAAATTACGAATAAGCGATCTCGATATTAGTTTCCCACCCACAGTGCTTTTTACCGAAGTACTGGAGAAAACATTCACAATCAAAAATATATGCAATTACCCCGTGGAATTTTTCTGGCATCATCTCGACAGGTAATTAATTAATAAAACTAAATTCAGCTGATTAGAAGCAAAAGCATAATGAGAGAAGAGACGATGAGAAAATTTTACGTTTTTATGAAAATTGTTCTTAAAAAGAAAAGGCTATTTGTTCATTCCGCGATTAACGTGAAAAGTGATAGATGAAATGACATGGAATGACTTTATTGAATAAATGCGTTATAGCTTTTTTCTAGAAGAAGAGCGAATCGCCGAGGCACTGACTCGTTATTATGGAGTTAAAGAAATCCTATTACCGCCTCGAAAACTCGGAGAGAGAATGCCTCCGTCTTTAATGGAATTCTATAATAGCCTCAAGAGCGAGATGGCGTACGCTTTGTCGGCGGAAGCAATTGAGAAAAAAAGTGCCACTGTGCTCAATGGTACATATTATTAAGAATACTTGAAAATAAGCTGCTTTTTCCGGATTATAATCTTTAATTGTCACATTACGGAACAAACATTCTACAAAATAATAACTTTGCTTTAGTTAGCAATATTTGCAATTTATATATAATGCAATATGTAATTAATGTTAGACGACAACAACGTTTTAAACGTGGAGCGTAAGAACAGAATAAGAGCAAGAAAGAAATCGTCTAGTACGTCAAGATTATTTCTTCAACAATTCTCGACTCGACAAAGCTCGAAAATAAATTTGCAAAAAAATTTCAACGTTGACAGGCGGAAACGAAAAAAGCCAATTGGTTATTCACCCACTTCTATGGACACCGCAAAAAGAGATTGCCCACCCATGTCAGTTCTTAGCGAGCTTGACTTTCCTCGCGAGCCTCCAATATTACCAACAAGCGATTCCGAAGAACTTCATAATTTGCTTCTCTGTGAGCAACTTATCTCGATAATAAAAATTCTTACAGTGAAACTTTTATTACATTGTCGTTACACGTTTTAATAAAAGCATGACTTTTTATATCCATTTTTATTTGCAAGGTTATATAGAGACTCTGCGTAAAGATCCTAGTTTCTGCAAAAGAATGAAAGATCCTGTAAAGGAACTGTTTGATAGTCACGAGACAAAATCAATTCCCGAGCTCGATTCTTCGCAACCGGCCAAGAAAGTTTGCATTCTCTTTCACGGCGCGCCATTTACTGGTAATTTCTCATTCAAAAGCACACAAAGAAAATGTTTACTAAATTGTATTACTTTAGAATATCAAGAAACCGCGTGCAGGAGCGCTAAGGCGTTGCAAATACCACTACTGTGCATAGATAATGTAATTATCGAAGGCATTGCACTTGGCGACAATTGGGTTTCTATCAAGTTACGACAGATCATCGACGACGCTTATCAAGAATATTTGTCAGCGTTCAAAAGATATAAGTAATTACAAAATTAAGAGACAAAAGCCGGTATTTACAGTCAGTTTTTATATTTATTAAGACCTTTTTAAGTGCAATCTTAAGATGTCACACAGTCAAAGCATCATATTAGTATCTTAAGATATTATTTAAGACAATCTAAAATAACGGAAAATAAATACCACCTATAAAATAGAGAGCGTTATTGTTATTTAAAGAATAAAAGTAATATCTTAAGACGCTAAATATACGGCTCTCTGAGCAGTTTATAAAAACGGTTTTAAATATAAGATCCAAGAATATAAATACTATCTTGTATATCACATTTTTAAATAATTATAGATTTTAAATAATTCATAAATAAATATTTTACAAAGATTTTATTTAAAATGAGAGATTTCGCGATTTTTTATTAAAAATAAAAAAATATATAAAAGATATAAAATTTATTTTTTATCTTTATATAGGAATGATTTAGAATTGGAAATTGAACTATCGGTAGCTAAGAAAACTGATGTCGAAATTGCGAAAAGTATTCATAAAACAATCACGAAAAAGGAATCACCTAAAGAAATAAAATCACCAAAAGCAACTAAATCTGATTTAGAAACGACAGCAATCGATGAAGATTCAGAGAGTGATACTCTACCTAAAAAATTAATGATTCTTTTTGAAACGGAATTTGCAAAGCTACCAAGAGAACAAGATTTGAAGTACTTAGACTCTATAAGTCTTTACGAATATAAAATTCAAACAATTTTGCTATTACAAAAAATATTTCCACATTACGCGACAATTGAATCGAAAGTTAATGAAAAAAATCAGAATGACACTTTCCTTGGAATTGAGATTGATTTATTAACCGAAGCTTTTAGAGAAAGGTAGTATTTAACATGTACATTTTTAAATAAATTAAAATTATTAGAAGATTCTTTTCACAAATTTTTATGAAATTTTTATTTAGATCGTTTTTTCTTTATACTTTACATTGCAAACAACGAGCGAAATCTAATTAAAATTCTTTTATTTTCGATTTTCTATTTTTTAATAATATAAAATAGAAAATATAGTAAAAGAGTAACGAATGTTACGCGAAGTCATCTTGTATATCTATAAAACACGTACTATTTTTTATTTTACTTTTACTGTTTTCCATGGTAGAAGAAAACCTATCATGTTATTTTTTATTTTATAATGTTAAGAAATAGAAAGTTGAAAGTAGAAAATAGAAATATTTTGTTTAACCATAAAATATCAAAATGTCAAATAAATATTTTATTTCAAGTAAATGTTAATAATGCAAATAGTAAGTACTATTTGCCTTTTTCACATTTACTATACAAAATACTTAATTTAAATAGTATTTTTCATAAATTTATTCTTTAAATAAATGATTTTACTGAATTTATTTCAACTTTTCCCTAGCTCTACTCTTTTCTTATCCTATTCTTAACAAACAGGTTGTCAGCACCATTCTTAGAGAGCGGTTTCGTACTGCAAACTTTAAACAATCTCTTTTTCAAAAACAATATTACCACGCTGCTTATATTACTCAACATTATTGGATACGTAGAATATTCGTTGTTTGTAACTTTTCTAAACTCAATAGATAATTACATTCGGAAAATGGAGGAATTACGAAAATTAGAAAGTAAGTTATAATAAAATAAATTATATACATAAATATATATAAATATTTTCAAAAGATTAATACGTTGTTTTTACTTGTTTGAATAAAGTAAATAAGCTAGCAGAAGAAGTTGCTAAGAAAATTCAGAAAATTGATGAAATGTCATTATCGGAATATGAGTTGCTTCCAGAAGAAGACAAAAAATTTTATTTGGAATCAACTTTACCAATAAAAAAACAAGAAGCGCTGCAAAGACGAATGCAATTTTCACAACAAATGATGGAATTGAGAGAGAGAAAAAAAAAAGTATCAACTTTAATTTAACTTTATAAATAATAAATACATTCTGCACATATAATTTATATTTTCTTTGAAAAGTTATATAAGATGTACACAATTATAATAATTTTTCTATTTTAGTTTTTCTTTTGCCAATTTCATGATAATTTACTTCAATATAACAAATATTAATGTAAACAAAATTATATTTGTAATATTTAATTTTTTTATCGATATGTTCCATAAACATTTTCTCAGGAAGTATTTAATGCTCAAATCACTAAGAATAAAAAAGTAAATGGAGAGGCAAAGAATGAAAAAATCAGCAGTCTAGAAGAGAAATCCCAAACTTCTAAAGCGGTCACCTACAAAAAAGAAATTGGAGAGCATAAGGAGCTCGAAAATAGATATAGTTTTAAACTAAGTAATATTTAAAGTAAAAATATCAAGCAAATATTAATTTGAGAGAAAACATTTTATTTTATTTGTAATCTTTTCTCTCTTTTATACAGCTTCAGAAAAGCAAGAAACGTCAAAGGAACTAAAAGATGTTGCTGATGCTATGAATGATTATTATAGCCATCTTTCGGCTATAGAAAATATTATCAAAAATTGGGATCCTCTAAAAAAAGTAAATATCCGCAAAAAATCATACATAACTTTGATTATTTCTTCTTAATATTTAAAAATATTTATTACTATTAAATGTATTATTGTCAATGATTTTTAGGATGCATTGTTTACGCCAAATAAAGATTTAAAGACCGATAAACTAATTACAGAAGACAAAAATTCTGATATCAGTAAAGAGGTATAATATATATGTTTCAACAATTTAAAAAATTTTATATAAGTTTTTTTTATAGAGAAGGTACTATTTAAAAAATAAGTATTTAGTATATGCAGAATGTCCTATTTTAAATAATGCATTAAAATTTCTCGAAAATTATGGTAAATATAGAAATTTCAAACAAAAGTTGTTAGCTCGGAGGGGGACAAGAAGGTTCTGTTGTTTTAAGTCGTCATAGACATATCTAGAGGGGGAGGGAGAGGCATGGGCCTTCCTAGAATAAAAATAATTATAAAATAATTACAAATTTACTATATTATAATAAATATTAAAATATATTATATGGTACGTGTACGTACGTATATACGTACATATATGTATACATTTATATTTCATATTTTTTTTTTATACACAATGTTTAGATTTAGGTTTAGAATCTAATAAACAAAAAAATTTACTGTACACTCTATTTACATAATATTTTGACAGACTTATAAGAACGGGTTTCATACTTGGTACGTAAATGCCACAGATCCATGGAATCGAGTGATGTATGACGTAATAGTAAATCAAATGAAAGAAAATAATTTAGCTAAAAAGGCTCTTCGTAAGTAATGTATTTCTCTCTTAATTAAATAAATTTCTATAAAAATATAAAATAATAATATTTAAAACTAGCTGCTAAAATTATGCCAATATTGGATCTCGAATCAAAGAAATATTATATTCTTAAGCCACGAGATATAAAGAAACGAGATATTGGAAATAATGGCAAGTATATTATATATCTTATTATTTATCATAACATGTAATATATTTATCGCACAAAGATGTATTAATTATGATTTTATTTTATTAATCAGGAGCTTTTCAAATAGTTTCATTATCCACTCTATCTAACTCTGTGATTATGGAATCCAATTCGTCACACACTAGTATAATTAGTAAACAAGAAAATTCTATAAAAAATACCAAGCGTAAAGAACGTATTTTTAATAAAAATAAAGAAACATTGACGGCATCGTTAAACGCATCTACGATAGACAGCACGGACATTAATAAACCTAGTATTAATACAATCTTTGAGAAAGTATTAAAACCACGATGGATTTTGCAACCTAATGAAATTCAGAAATTTAAGATTCGATATCAACCTGAAGAAGTGGGAACTCACCGGCAAACATATGCACTATCCATCCTCGATGGCAATGAAATTACTTATGATATCAACGTTTTTGTCGTCGCGGATGTCCCAAGATTAGACATGAACCCTAATACTATTTTTTCAAAAGTAATAACATTTTTATGCATATAAATATTATTATAAAATGAACATTAGAATTGTTTAATATCAAATAAACTTATTTATTATTAATTTAATTTAATATTAAATGATTTTATGAATTAATTTATAATTTTTATTAAAGTATATATTACCAAGATATGATTTTTCACTAAGGTTTTAGTAAAATTAACAAAATGTGTTTTAGATAAAAAAAACAAAGGTAAATGATATAATTGAGCCCACATACTTTTCTGATGTTGATATTTTTGATTTCGGGTCATTACTGATGTATCAAAAGGATAAAAGGTTTGATTTGCATTATATGATGACTAAGTAGAAAGATTCAGATACGGTGTATCAATAGTGAAAAACATGTACATAGAGCATTTGATATACCGTATATACCGTAGCTCAAAAATTTATACTCATGAGTCTTATGTCTATATATATCCTTGTTCACCAAATTATAAGCTACCACATATGTACCATATATAAGATACTTATTTCACTGAAAATCAATTTTCTATTTAATCATTACAAAGTTTTTTATTAAGAATTAACTACAAATTTATTATAAATTCATTTTAAATATGTGATTTACAAACAGTGCTCATCGTCGTGAAGCAAAATTTAAGTTCTGTAATATATCCAAAGTTGATGCAGAAATATCCTTTACTCTCCAAGAAAATAATTTAGATATTTTTATTATAGAATCAGAGAAACTTTATATTCAGGTAATTATTATTATTTCGTTTAAAATATATTTATTACTAAAAACAAGCAGATTTTAAAATTATTATTTTTTTATTAAATTGTACAGGCTGGACAGTGTGAATTGCTACAAATATCAGCAGGTGTTACAAAGCTTGGATCATTTACTGATAAGTTACACATATGTATCACAAATAATCCACATATTGAAAATATCGAGGTAATTAGATAAGAAGAATAAAAATTAAAATCAATTCTTATCGGATCGCTAAATTTCAAACCGAATGAGACAATGCCACAACGGTCTAAAGTAAATCATGGTTGCTTCTAAATAATTGTGTGTGAATTTATATACTACGAATGTAATTCTTCGTTTGCGCGCCGAAATTTTTTCAGACTTGAAACGCAACACTAATAAACTACCGCAGTAATATCACGAGTTAAATTGACTAACAATTTAACAATTGTTGATGCTGTTTACGCAATCCGTGTGAAGCTGGCCCCCCAATATTAAAAAATCGATTTTTTTCTTCATGCATTCGTTTGCTCATTGTTTGCTCACGAATGCTTAGTTAGAATTTTCGTTTGCTCACCTTTAGTTCAAAAGATATACGAAAATTATGTTTTGGGGGACCAACTTCACACTAGCCCCCCAATATTAACAAATCGATTTTTTTCTTCATGCATTCGTTTGCTCACCATTAGTTCAAAAGATTTGTGAACAAACGATGAGCAAACGAATGCATGAAGAAAAAAATCGATTCTTTAATTCGATACCAAAACTTTATTTTCTTGTATCTTTTAAACTAAGGATGAGCAAACGAAAATTCCAACTGAGCATTCGTGAGCAAACGATGAGCAAACGAACGCATGAAGAAAAAAATCAATTTTTTAATATTGGGAGGCCAGCTTCACACAGGTGTTTACGCACCTTATATCGATCTTATTAATGATGAATAACCTATTAAAAACTGTAGATAATTGATTTTTTATTGCGAAAAATATTACCTCGGCCGGAAGTCGAACCCGGATCTTTGGCATTCCGTCCGAGGTAACATTTTTTACAGTGAAAAATTAATTATTATTAATTATTTGGAAGCACCCGTGATCCAACTTAGATTGCTGTTGCATTGTTTCATTTGGTTTGAAAATCAAAATAACACACACATATACACATATTATTTTTATCTACATAAAATATGTATAAAGATTATTGTCCCGAATATATACACCCAAAATGTTTTAGCTTCATTGTAACGGTTCGAAACTGGACATAGAGTTTGAGGACAAACGGTTATCTTTTGGTCACGTACTCTTGTATAAAAGAAACTTTCTTAGTTCCTGTATCCGAAATAGATCCCCGATCGAAATATTCTGGCAATTAGAGCCTAATGAACCACTAGATCCTCAAATCTCAATTACACCGACTAAAGGAATTATCAAAGCGTACAGTGATAAAACAGTCGAATTTTGTTATCACGCCAATAAAGTAAAAGATTAAACTAAATTTATATCATATATAAATATTGTAATAATAACACGTATTATTAAAAAATTTATTTTATTAATACTTAAATTATATTATTAATATTTAAATTTTATTAATTTATTTAATTAAAGTTAAAAAATCAATAATTCTTTTATCTTTCTCAATAAATTTTTTGACAATCTATTCGATACATTTAAATGTAATAGCTTGAATTAGATCTTTGGTTTAGATCGGAATGATCGAAGGAAGCTTGACTTTCAAAGCTTTCTTTTACGAAGACGATATGGAACCTATTTTTATGGAAGCTATTACTTTATCTGGCGAAACATATGACGTTGCTGTTGACATTAATTATGCAAATCCAATTGATTTAAAATGTGTAAAAGTTGGTTTTCCTTCAAGCGCAAATTTTACAATAAGCAATCGAGGAAAACACGAAGTTAAATATGCGTAAGTCGAAAAATGTATCTAGCAAGTTCTTATGTTCATTGTATCAAGATAAATATATATTATCACTGAAATTGTACAAAATTAACGTTTTTATACAAAATATACTTTTATAATTTCTTTTAATACTGGGTGAGGCATTTAAAACAGGTCTCCTGAATAACTCGCTTGTTTTTAACAATATAAGGAAACATCAAACAAAAATTGTTTGGTTTCGAGGGACACATAATGCGATGTCAATAATTGTAGATGGAGGCGTAAAGGATAGTCAAAGGTCAAATGTGTTCTTTTGAAAATTTTTTCATCTGTTGTTAAAAACAAGCGAGTTATTCAGGTGACCGGTTTTAAATGCCTGTATTTTATTAATTACATACGCTATATTAATTAAATTAATAATTATAATTAGCATACTTTTGGAAAAACAAAACAAACTAGCCAAAATTGCGCCGAATTTGTCACTAAAATTGAACGAGGACATAGAAATTAATCCTGCTTCTGGTTCCATTCAACCAAACAAAGAGGCTATTGTACAAGTATATTGTTTGATGCATTTTTTGGTTTCTTAGATTACCAAAAATTAAAATAAATTAGTTATTTTTATTTTTATAATATATTGAATTAATATTTTATACTAGACAATGCAAACATAATGTATTTTTATATATTTAAAAATAGAAATATATTTATAAAAATAGTTATAAGTTGTAATTAATGAAATTTTGTTCAATGGCAGGTAACTTTAGTACCAAAAAATGAAATTACTTTAAAAGAGTGCCCAATACTTCGATGTCATCTTTTTGATACGAATAAACAATCTGTTGTGATTGCAGAATTTTCTCTCACAATTTCTCTGATTGCGTATTACACGAAGTAAATTATTTAAAACTGATAATTTCTCTAAATTATGTCATATAATTTTAAAGAAAAGTTTTTCTTTTGTAACTTTAAAAATTGTATTATCTACAATTTAGTTATAAAATATATTTTTCTATTTTTCGATAAATATCAGTAACAGTCATAATTTTCGATATGTATTCTATTATCTCTTTCACAGGTTTCGCATTTATCCCTACAATGAAATAAATTTTACCTCAATTGGTATATGCACGAAAAAAACGTTATATCTTAACGTGGAAAATGTCGGTAAATTTCCTCTTCATTACTCTATTATAACAACGCCTATCAAACATCCATTCACTGACTATATGTCAGAAATTAAGGTAAAAAACGTAATTGAAAAGGACCATGACAAATTGACAGACATGTCAACGACAAAAGAAAAATCGCAAATCAAAAAATTAGATGACAAGTAAATATTAAAAAATCCTTCCTTTGATTAATAATTTGATGACATGTATAAAGATGTATATCAATTCTCCATACAAAGTATTATAATTTTACTTTTATATATTATTTAATTAAATTGAATATTCCAAAAAATAATTTCAATGCAATTATAGACGAAATATTGAATCAATTAAAAAATATTTAAATACTTTTAGAAAGACACAAGAATATACCACTATGTTAAAAATTGGTCCTTTTACTGTGACAAAAACCAAAGGAGACCTCCAGCCTGGAGAGATGGATACCGTGGCAATCGAGTGTTATCCCGAATTCGTAGGTTCTGAAGAAGAAGACATAATAATTCTCGTATCTGATAGTGTTCCCGAAGATAAAAATGGAAAATTGATAAAACTCTCTGTTAATTCCTGTATACCGAGCATCGATCTTGAAGATCTCAACACTATATTTCATGAAAATCACATTGTGAATCGTATTGAAGACTTTATTTGTTCAAAAGAAGTATTTAATTCCTTTAATAAGTTAATCTCGTATTCATCTTTTAAATCAAAGTAAAACTAAGAGGCTACTTTTAACCAGATCGGTACACATACTATATTCGCACATCAAGAGAAATGCCTGTATTTTTGTTATGTCAACGTATTTCATACCCATACAACGTACCTTGTGCTTCACAATCGAAATGTAATACCTACTGACGTGGAACTGACCTTACTCACAGACTCATTTACTCCGAAAACTATGAAACCTGATACTTTCGTTTTGTCACCCGAAAGAGAACGCATTCAGCCAATGAGTCACAAGAGATTCGCAATTTCATTTAATCCAACGTTTATAGAGGTAACAATATCTTGTTTTTAAAAAAACAATAATATATAAATGTCAAAAAAAATTTTTTTTTAATTACACTGCAGTGTGAAAATGTATTACATTTTCAATTTAATTTTTCTTTTGTCTTTCATAATTATAATTATAGACGTGTTATGCAATCTTCGATATAGCAGTCGAACTTCCCCCGCATTTGAAGGATAAAAAGTTTTCTGTTAAATTAGTAGGACAAGCTTGCGTACCAGAAGTAACAATCATTGAACCACCGAGTACAAAACGAGAACGAACTATTTTAAATTTTGGTCGTACGCTTGTAGGTGATACTACAGGGAAAAAAATTGCTTATAAAAATATCGGTGTAATATCGGCAAAAGTGATTATCGAAATTATCAAAGATCTAAATTTTTATTTCACTCTCAACATTTGCGAGAGTACAAGACACTTAAAATCAAATGGTTGGTACAATATAATTAATCGTTAATTTAATTTTTCTGTATAAAAAATAATTAAGAAAATGAATAAGAGAACATTTTATAAGAAAAGTTGTATGAGTGTTAAAGATCTCAAAAGATCTGTTGTTAATATAAAGATAAAATACTGTTTTAATAAGCGCAATCAATTACATTGTTACAATTTACGACTGCAACTAAAATATGATAGTTTTTTTAAAATAATAAAATATATTTTTAAATAATATCACTCTCTTTATGAAATAATCTTTTTTTAAATCAATTTTTAATTTCTATGAAGTGGAATTGATATATTTAATAAGCATAAATATACCATATATATATAGATTTAGAGTGGAATTCAATAGAATTTATTATAAATATAATATTTTTACGTTAAATAGATAAATTGTTAAATTACAGTGTCAAACGATCGATGTATCATAGTCCGTTTAACACCCGAGGAAACAATTTCTCTCGAAGTAAAATTTACTCCGCGAGAGATCGGCAAATATAAAAGTCAAGTGCGGCTATTTATTGCTGATAATCCCTATGAAAATCTAACAATTGATTTAAAGAGCGAAGCGTATGCAGAATTAATCGTGTTAGATGGATTAGAGCTTACAAATACAAAACTTAATTCTGTCAATGAAAGAAGAGAATCTAACGCAAAATCACGAAGATTGTCAAAATCAAATAGTACAACGAGAGGTAATCGAAATTGAAAAATACAATAATAATCATATAAAGAATATAATTATAGAAAATTATAATTTTTCAATACAATTTTTTCCCTTTTTGTTTATTACTTGATCTGTTTAATAAATTTGTCAGAGTAATACTTGTTTATTATTTATTTCAATTATTTTCACAATATGAGAAAATTTATTATTTCATAACAAGCAACTATGATTTACGATACTTTTTATCGATCTTCTATAAATTCTCTTTCAATTAGAATTTATACATTTTGTACTGCTCTGATTTATATCTCACAGTTTCAACACCGACAACGCTCCCGATTTCATTAATCTATAAGCTGGATTATGGATACTGCTTTGTCAATAAAATATACAGAAAGAGCTTCAAAGTCATTAATAAATCAGTAAATCAACATTTACGTTTTCAATGGAGCGCACATCCCAACGTTGTATTTACTCCGTCAATCGGTCATCTGAAACCTGTGACTTGTAAAGAAATCGTTGCGACATTCCTTTCTTCGGAGCCAACAATTTACATTGACGTAATATAAAATTAAGTTCCAGCAATTTGCAAACTATCGCCAATTGATGATTGCAATTTATAATTTTATATAAATAATTGATTTTACTTTTTTATATATATAATTTATATAAACTTAAAAATTTGTTTTCCTTCAAAATTTTGAAGCACATGTCAATGTAATGATTAATTAAAATTACATTATCAAAACTGGTACATAAAACGTTTAATTAAGGTAGTAAAAGAATATTTCTATATAAAAAATAAATAAATTTTAACAACAAAACATCAAAATAAAAGTTCAGATTTTGAAAATCTTGTCAAATAAGATTGTAGTTGTATTTCTTTGATTGGTATTGTTGCATATTAAACCTATATATAAATATTATTTTTTAATTAACAGACACATCTCGAATGTACAGTCTGTGCAATTGAGCTCGTCGATTCCGTGAAAGAATCATCCTGGGACGATCGGGAGACAGAGGTGCGGTGGATAACAATAAATTCTGCTGCCGGGGAGCCAAATGCGGAAATAGCTAAAAAAACAGTGGAACCTGTTAATGAGCCGAAACATGAAATCGTTCCTGGTACGACGAAGTGCATCCAAGTGTTACTTAATGCTATCGTAGCATTTTCCAAATATTCTTGCTCCGTTAAAGAGATCAATTTCAAGAACACGCTAATGTTTCAGGTTGTATACTACAAGTATAAACTTTATATCTTGCATTTAATTGTTAAATCATAATTACTACACTATAATTGATTTTGTTATAGCTCTAATAAATTTTATAATACTTCAAAGTTGAAAATGACGGAATAGCTCTGCTCTATCATATCAATTTTCTCGATCTACGATAATCCCTTATTTTCCGTAGTATAATTATAAATTTTTCTTTTATAGCTGATACACTCACCTGATTATTTCATTTAATCGAAGCGCAAAGTACAGATTATGAATAAATCTCTCAATCGTTTGTTCGTATCGGGTTTAAATATTTGTTTGTAATAACGCGGATATTTTCTGAATCAAACGAATCAAATCAAACGAACGCCATGAAGTTCGAAAAATGCAAACCGTATCACTGTTACTTTCATATCTGATCCAATTCAGACTATTGTTTGCACGAAAAATAAAGAAAAAATTAAACTTCTATAGGCAGCGGATTATTTACTTTTATTTACTAGTCGGTTAAAAAATCGATAATATTATATATATTAATTTTTCGGTAAAAGATGATTCTCTCCGTTTTCAATATTTTCTCTCTACATTATGTATTTAGTTGTAGTGCGTAACAATCTCGATATAAAATCAGGAGAAGATGGTACAAGGGGGAAGATGCCACTTTATTTATATTCTTATCATAGAACATATATTGATTATTCTAACTGCATAGAAGTGTGTGGCAAACAATGCAAAAAAATGTAATTATCAAAAAGTTCATATTAATTGACGTTGAAAAATATTTAACAAAATACTAAAAAATAGATTATGAAATATACCCTTTCTAATATATAGTACGCTTATCTCATCGCTAAGATTTATGCTTTGATGCTTACTGTAAAACTGAACAAATAATATACGATTTTGATCAATGTTTCCTGGCAGTTAAGTGGTTGATACAGATTATACCAAAAGTACTCGCTTCTGTCATATTGTCTAAATCGAACAGACGCGTATTAGCCCACTTGACTCGACTTCTTTCACCAACTTCTGATTAAATCAATCGACGATTAACTCGCAGAACTGCCAACAGCAGTTTAATCTTTAACGTATGATTAAAACTTCTCCTCTTTATTTCTCTTTTGAGATAAACTGCAATGTGTTTAGTTCTCACGTTGGCAATCATGGTGATTGAGTTAACCATTGATTAGCATTAATTGGAGTTGGAAAAGGCCCTGACCTTCATTCAAAAACGCGCAGCCTGTGCTCGTCGGTCTGCGTCGTAATGTAATGGCGCAGCGCATGCGCGACTATCATTACTTGAAATCTGGAAACGCGTCTTCGCAGATTCAATACTGGATAAAAGAATAATTAATGCTTTCATTAACGCTTCGCACGTACCTCGTAACAGTTGTCTGCTATCTTACGAGCGTCTGGGACGTTCGTTTGTATATGAGATTTACTTTAACTAAACAATAAACGCGAAAATTGCAGAATGACTTGCTCGCCAGACTTCGATGCGTGAGTTGATATACGTTCGGTTACGTTCGACCGCGATCGGCCAGCTTCGATTACCCGCGCGCAAGACGATAAAATATTTTTATACAAGGTCTTCCATTAAGAGATTTTATTTTTTATTTGAGGTACGGCAAAATACAATTAGCAATTCTTTGTTGACAGGCAAGCGAATACTCGTTCATTTTTTCAAATACTGGTATCGTCGACATTGAATATGCATGGCAGATAAACATGGACGAGCAGTATCCGGTGAGATCGATTGCAAATTATTCACGACCCACATCAAGATCGCGAAAGGACGATGTTCGAGCTACCTCATTAACGTCTTACGAACTACCTCATCAACGATACAATCCAAGTTTCGATAAGAGTGTAAAGTCGAATCATCGACAGCTTCTGTCGTCTCGAGGTGACTTAATTTCCGTACGGCAGCGATTTATAAAAAAGAAAAACGGAACATATCCGGACCGGTAAAAAATTAATGTTTACACTCTACAGACAATCTTATCGAGGTAAAACCAACTGCTCGCCACGGTGATCCATCTGATCTCTTCAGCAGCAGTGCCGGTTTGACGGAACGAAGTAGCGATAGCTGGTTAGAGAGCGACGATCTACCGTTTGGAATTTATCCCGATAAGGGAATTTCACCCCCGGGTGAATCCGTGGAATGCGTCTTGCGGTTTTCCCCCACGGACGTATTCGATTACAAAGCGTATCTTACGTGCAAGTATGATTATAATTCGTTTATTTGATTTAATTTAATTAGTAGCATAATAGAATCTGTTCAACTAACTTGGATGCTCTATGAGAGACAAAAAGCAAAAGTAGGGATCAACGATACGTGTATTAATACGCTAAAATAATTTAAAAATTGGCCTTTAGATAAAAAAGAAATGATTGTTTATAAAAAGATCGATTTTTAAATATATTTTGAGAATATCAGTTAAAAATCGTCTTTGAAGCTAAATAGCTTAATTAAATAATTCTTAAGGCAAGAAGTTTCTAGGATATGGGCATTTATAGATTTCTAGATTTATGTCCATCTGACCACTAATTTCTTTACAGTACATATTTGTCCCAAAAAACTACGAAAAGAACAGTTTTGGAAGTATCTAAAAATTGAATTAGATCAGATTTAAAAACAAATTTTGTAGCATTAGCATAATAGGTAACTATGTAGAGGACACAAACTGAATGCTAAAATGTCAAAATTTTTTGCTACATTGTTCATTATGTATGAATTTTATATTACATTTTTGCATCGCGATATCTCCGTTCATAGAGCACGTACAGAAAAAATAAAAGCACTTTTATTACACAACCTGAGCGGTGGCTATCGATTGAGCGTAAGGAGAACTTGATCGGTTCAACCGTTATTGAGATTCAATACCCCCTCGATCGTTCGTATCTCGTCGACTTTCGTAAAAGAGGCACGGTGCGTCTCGTGCTGCGCGTTCACTTGGCGCGAAACACTACCATGTATCTCTTGATTCGATTAGAATATAAAATATTATACACTTTAAAATTAAACTTGAAATTTATAACTTTTTTTTAGAAAGTGGACAAAATGGGGGGGGGGGGGGGGAATAATACAATTTTTTAGTTATTTATAATTTCTTTTTTGAACAATAATTCTATTTTGGTGAACAAATTTGGACAAAGGATGGACAATCAAATGCGATGTTAATTTTATCAAAATTCGCATCTGGGAATGCCAGCTTTTCACAGACCTGTTTAATGTATATTGTATAGTATAAATTTATTCGGTTGTTTTATTTAATATTTAATTTTTATATCCAGATCTTTTGATATGCGTAATTATTTATTGAATAAAAATGGGATGATATGCGCATTGACATCGGAATATACATATATTCTTGTCTCTATCGAATATATATTTCAATAATAAAGATATTTTCAAAACTCGAAATAGAAGAAATATATATACGATAAGCTACAACTTGCCCGTAGAGTCACAATATGAAATATCTCTATCCGTTTATTCATCGGAAGGGATTTATCGTATCCATAAATTCTTGGCGTTGCCTGCATACGTGCGTTTCCGTTTGTCCGATGAACAGAATGAAGAATCTCGATCCGGAGCTGCCAGAGTTGACTATTCCTATCGTAGGAAGAAGTTTGTTGCCATACTGTCACTTCGACATACCGGAAAACGACTATCTGTCCGGTAATAGACGCGACATGAAACTGCCTGGACCCATCGGTTACCAACCGGATGATAATTCTCTTCCGGAGGGCACGAGAGTGATTGAGCTCGACGTGATCGGAATCGGCGGATCTCACATAAAGTAAATATTATGGGCGTTTTTCAGTTGGACTTTATCAAATCACTGACAATCATTTCACAATATTTTAACCGACACCATTTGATATTGATTTCGCCGACAATATTAATTGATTAACATAGCGAAATCACCAACAATATTTACATCGACATTTATTTTACTGAAGTTTATTTTACACTGAATAACATTAATAATGCTTATATGTATAAGAATAATTTTTATTTCACTAATGTATATTCAAATTAATATAATATAAAATTGCCGGTTGTCAAATTATAGGCAATAATGACACATAAACACAGCCTTACGTGCATATGTAAGTAAATATAACGTCATGTTCACTCGGTGAAACGTCACTCAGAAAAAAATATAGCACCAGATAGTACAATTGGAGAGTGCTCTTCTACAAATAATAGTGCAAATAGGGACAGAGATAATTTGTAACAAATAAGTTTAAAATTTTGCTAGAATATTTTATCACAAATTGTAGAAGATATCTACAATTATTGTAAAGCAGTTTATTTTTTATGTTTAAAGTAAAGTAAACAAACTGTATTTACAGTGACTATAAACTATATGATAAAAAAAGCAAAACATTATTACAAATTATAATGTTAGTTGTTTTTAATATTAAGAATATCATTTTATAGAGCACTACAATAACGCAATAAATTTTAACTAAATTTTATAGTATAATTTCATAACCAGTGTGCAACAAGTTACTCTTAATGTGTTATAATTATTTAAAACGTTGTAGAAAAATTTTTTATTATTTATTAATAAAATTTATTTGTGCGTTTGTTTTATAGAGTCACAATTTTTGTGTTTGCATACGACAAAATAAATTTGCTACAAAATTGTAGCTAATCTGTGCCTTTTTTATTTTCCATTATGTTACAATTTAAAATTACTTAACTGACAAAATTAAATCTACGATATTGTATTAGTTTGTTTTCGAAACATTTTCCTCAATGTGTCGATGTAAACATTGTCAATGATTTCACCATGTCGGTCAATTAATATTTTCGGTGAAATCAATGTAAAATAATGTCAATTAAAACATTATCGGTAAAATAATTGTCGGTTATTTGAAATCCTTTTTCCGCAAGGACACAATGTAACATACTGAATCGTTGTATCTTGTTGCACGATTTGTACGTTAATATATTAAACAGAGATGGAATAATTCATTGAATTACACTGTGTCCTTGATGAAAAATGTTTTAATCGAAGAAACACAAATACATTATCACAAATTTCAGAAAATTCCGAATGATAAATCCAACATCAGATGACTATCATTTCATATGGGAAGATCGTACTCGTCACGTTGAAAACGAGATTCCAAAATTTCATTGTGCACTTTCGGAAGGAATCGCTGAGCGAGGAAAACAAGTCGACTTTTCGTTTACGTTCCTCGCAGAGAATATCGGCATTTTCGAATCCTTTTGGTTGTTCCGTATTGAAAAATACAATCTGGAGTGTCTCTTTCTATTTGTCGCAACTGTCAGAGAACCATTGGTTTGCTGTCCTCGTATTCATTTAAAAATGAGACCAACCGTAATAGGTTAGATGAAGAGATCACATGATAGAAAAATATGCTCTCTAAATTCTTTGGAGTAGAATCTTATTTATCTTGAAAATGAAAATGGTTCAATTTTCAATCATTAAGAATGATATTTCGTTCTTCAGAGTGAGATTTACTTCAAAAGTTTTAGAGAGTACAAATTCCGTACAATTCTTATATGCATTAATATCTGTATTTATTATAGGCATCAATGTGCGAGAATCAATAAGCGTAATCAACAAGGAGGAGTTTCAGATTCCCTTTCAGATCGCGCGGGACTCTTTATATTCTGAAGGGTGTCTTCAATATTTGAAAATAACACCTATAAGTGGCATTTTACCTGCAAAAGGCGAACAAATACTTTGGTAAACGGAGAACACAAGCAAGAATTTTGAATATAAACTTTTGAACCATTAATTGAATACTTTTTATTTATATGTAGGGTCGAATATCGGCCTACACTTGTTGGAGAATTCCAATTTTCTGTCAAGTGTATTATAAAACAAATGAAGGCACCTTTGACTATATTTGTTACGACAACAACACACGATATTATCGTTTCGGTTACATATGTCGATCTGAACGGCCAGGTAGTGCGACTAAATCAGGATAAAGAGAATATTATCGACTGCGGAAAGGTATGCGTGTATAATAATTTGTTTTAGTATTTAAAAATAAATTTTAATAATATTACGTTTAATTTTTAGTTATTATTAAAAGCACCCGTTACTGTCGTATTTGAAATAATAAATTCAAGCAAAATGACGCTTTACTATTCTTGGGAGCTCGGAATGACATCAGAAATAATTAGTAGAAATATGTACACGATTACAATGCCTGAAAAGCAGGATCATGTGCTTAGTGAGTCGCGTTCCATCTGTTCTCTTATTGTTACAGCATTACAAAAGACAATGATAAAGAATCATCCCATTCTCTTGAAGGTACCGTTATCGCTTTTAGATGTCAATATTGCGCCGTACTTTTTATGAACGTAAATGTATAAACTTTATAAATCTGCGTCCCTTTTCTTTCTTCAGATTTCCAGAGGGCCAACCTACCGACTAACTTTAAAAGCGACAGCAAATAAACCAATTCTAGAATTCAGTTTTAATTGTTACGACTTTGGACCTTGCTACATTCGAAACGTCCCTGCGACTCCATATCGCGTCGATTTATGCGTCACCAATTCAGATGATATTTCGTACATGTAAGTTGATTTAAGGGGGAATATCAGGGTGACGGCCGAAAAAAAGGCTATTTTCATAAATTTTTTTGTAAAAACTAATAGCCTGTATGAATTATTGTCTTTATACAGGGTGAGGCATTTAAAACGGTCACCTGAATAACTCACTTGTTTTTAACAATAGAAAAGTATCAAACAAACGAAATTCCGTGTAGCAGTAGTTGCGCGGTCTTGCGAGAGATGTAGTGATATAGCATATGATATCGCATGACATGGCGAGATATGGCATGATGTCGCCAAAAAGAATGCGCGCGTATTTATGTTTTTACGTAAAATAATAAAGATGTAGCAAGAAATAACTACATCGAATATGTATTTTTATAATATCATGTCATATCTCGCTATATTATGCCATATCACGTCATCTCTCGCAAGACCACGCAACTACTGCTACACGGAATTTCGGCTCTGTTGACATCTCTAATCTTCGCGAAGCATTTGTATTCACGTATTTGGTGAAGAATCTGAAGAAATAACTTTTCTTCTAGAGACTTTCAATCTTAATTTTTATACAAACTCAGTATTGTTTGTTCCAATAATGCGACCTCAGCTAAATACTAATTTTCAATATATGGATTATAAAACTCTTACATCAAGCAAATATAGATCTGACGTGCAGCTGTACAAGCCAAAAGTAAGTGAATTTTTCAACTTTTTCCGATTTTCTCGTGAAATACAATAGCTAGCTGAGGTCCTGCTAGTGCGTACTTTAATTCTGTAATAACAATTTTGTAATCCGTCAATCCAATTCAGAAATTCATTGAAATCTAATTCATTGAAAAATATCACCGAATGGAATGATGTTAAAGTAGGACGAGACTTTAGCATCACCTTAAACAATAAAGCCACTCTAGAGCACTAAAATAAGACTAAATTTATAAATTTTTTTCGGAAATGTAATGAAAGAAATAAAAAAAATTTATTTTAGGTCTTTGTTGTACATACGTTGAAGTGTAAAAAAATATTTTTTTATAGTGATTTTATTACAAAATGGCGGCGCTACAGTTCTGCAATGGTAACGTCTTCTCATGGACAATGCTCTGCAACCGGAACGATAACTCCGGCAATTTTTAATCTAGAACAAAAAACAAAAATTTTTTACCGTTAAGCAGATGAGTGATAAGGCAAAGTCGTATATTTAAAAAAGAGACAAAGGTAAACGTTTCGGTCAAGTTATGACCATCATCAATTCATAAAAATTAATAGTATACAGTAAAAAAGAATGATAATCGTTAAATATTAACGTTAGATGTTAATATTTCGTTCGTTAGATGTCAACAATAATTTTCTAAAACTTCGCAGTGCATGATCTTAAAATTAGAAGTAAAAAATAGTAAAAATATGAGAGTCAAGAAATGTATACTTTAAATATATGACTTTGCGAATGACATCTTGCGTTGTGTGGCTGTATGCTCATTTCTATGTATGTTTAAAAATTTTTTAAATCTACATTCCAAAAGCTAAAAAAAGATATACGGAAATTGCAATATATCATTTTTTTTTTAAATTGTACGAATTTGAAGTAAATGTTAAATTTAAAGGGTAAAAAAGGTGAAAAATCATTTATATAAAAAAGTATACAACATAAAAAAAAATCCGTATATCTTTCTTTAGAGAATGCAATTATGAAGCTACAGTTAAAATTTCAAGTAAATCGATCAAGATTTATCTACTACGCGACGCTTTAAACTTTCAAAAATGTCTTAGGAATTTTTCTTCACTATAAGATCTTTTTTGTCTACCTTATTTCTAAGATCTTAAAGCATCGTCTAAGCAAAAAAGAAAAAGAATTATTTTTGAAAATTCTAGAGTAGCTTTATCCCTTTTAACCCTATTCGGTCACACTTCAGTAAAATCGCGTAACGGTCACACTGGGTGAATTTCACTCAGCGTCGAAAAAGTAATATCCTACTTCGATAATGAGTCTTATTTATCTTAAAAATTTTTGATAATTTTGTATTACATGTATTAGATTATAATAATAAAAAGTATTTTTTACGATATTTTTGTGTTTTAATAATTTTTACTTTTTTTATTTTCATTGTTCAAGTAAAATAAACACTCTTAAAAATTCGGCATTTTTCGCGCATTGGCGAAAATTTTGCGTCTGGCGTCTGACGAAAGTAGGCCGTCAGAAATCGTTGGGTGAATGTCACCCAATGAAGACCGAATAGGGTTAACGGTTGTTTCAAGAATGTATACACTATATAACAAAAGACTCAAGCACACAAGTAACAAAAGAACACTGCTTATAAGCAAATCAAGAGAACCGCTCAGCAATTTCAGGTAGCTGGCTCTACTAGAGCGGCATCTGACCACGTTCTATTCTATCTTTACGAATTTTAACATAATATTGTAGGGACATATTTTTAAGACTCCAAGCATTACAAAAATGCAATAAAAAAAAATCTAATTTTTTGAATCCGTCACCGTGGTGTTCCTCCTTCATTTACTTGCAGGAAATTGAGACATTAATTTTCGCACGAAACAATTAATTTTCACAGACTGGAATGCAAGTTCGAAGAGAAACCACACATCTCTGTAAATCTAGACGCTCTTTCAGAGACAATAGCCGCTCGATCAAGTATTGTCATTCCGATAGCATTTCGACCTTTGGAACAAGTACACTACTGCGATGATTTACACTTTATAATCAATTCGTCGATCGAAAAAAAGATTACTATAACCGGCGAAGGAATTATATATAAGGTAATGAACTAATGACACACATAGATGTATATATATATATATATATATGCATTAAAAATTAATCCAATTCGTATCTTATGTCATTTGTTAACAACTCATTATGGTACATTGTGTAACATGTGTGTTAAAGTTGTTTATAGTGCGCTCCCCCGCGTCCGCGCCGCGCTATAGACAATTATAGTACATGAGTTGCACATAGATTTTTTCATCACGAGTGCACTCTGTTAGTAATATGTTATACAATTATAAAGTCGCACGAGCGAAGCGAGTGCGACTTATGGGGTGGTGCATGGG